GGCGGCGCGGCGTGGTAAATGCCGCGCGCAGGGGCGCGCGCTGGCGGGGCCAGCTCGCGCAGCGCGCACACGCAAACGCGAATGCACGATGTTGCGCACGCACGTCCGCACCCTCTTAGAACTCGCACGCCCACAGACTTGCATGTGCAAGCCCGCGCGCGCGAAAACTATCGCACGCATGTTCTGGATTCGGACCTGCACGACAAAGGCAATAAGACGTTCGCAGCTGCGCTCCTTGGAGGGGGACAACGTCCAAAAAGCCAACGCCTACCCGTCTCCCGCCTCCTCCTTCTCCCCTCCCTTCCCCTGCACCCTTCCTCTGCCTTCCCCCTCCTTACCCCCTCCCCACTCCTCCCCCCCCTCGTTGCCGTTGTCGTCCGTGCCCCTGCCACCGAGGCCCTGAGCATCTGCAGACGGAGCCGCCTCCGAGAAGTCTCCACCGTCCCGTTGGTGCTGCAGGGCTGCAACTCTGCCAGGGTGCCTTTGCACCCCTCGTCCTCGCGACACAGCACGCAACATGGGCAGACACGCAGAAGAGGATACGGTCGTTCACGACATGTGCCTCGCACATTACAACACGCGAGCTGTGTCGCATTCAACGGCGTGAGCGCACGATCTGGTGGCTCGAGGCAGCGCAGGAGGGGGGGGCAGGGGCAGGATGAGGCGAGAGGGGAGGCGGAGGAGGAGGAGGAGGAGGAGGAGGAGGAGGAGGAGGAGGAGGAGGAGGAGGAGGAGTAGGATGAGGAGGAGGAGGAGGAGAGAATGATGGCGATGAGGCGGAACTTATTTGTGATGGTGCCTCCTCGAAATGCTTGCCCTACGCCAAGCGCGCTACAGTCATCTCTGTGTGCTCACGAAAACTACCTCTGCACGGAATGCTGTACACGGTGCGCTTGGGACGGGGAGGGCGAGAATGGGCGGGTAGGAAGAGGTGCGAGCAGCCTGACGGGCAACTGAGGGTCACAGGGGCGTAGCTGGCTGGGAGTGGGGCTATACAGCAGGGGTCCGACCACAAGAAACCTGCCACAAGAAACCCCACCCTGAGACCCCAGGGCGTCCATCGATTTTTGGTGTGGGAGCGTGACGAAGAAACCCAGGGCACCCTGGAGGCAAGCAGGGTGTTTCTTGGCATGGGCCCCTACTGTGCTCGTACGGTGCCTCTTCTGCGAAGACACCCACAAGCGGTAGCCCAGGCTCTTCGAGCCAGCTCCAGAGGGGGGCGGGGGAGCTGGGTGGGGGTGGAAGCGCTTCCTTTTCCAACGGGAGGGCGTGAACGTACCGTCGGTCCTAGGACAGAATAACATGCTTGAAGAAAATGAAACCCTCCGCCAGCCAATGGAGAGCGTTCGAGGGTGCACAAGCACATCCAACAAAAACGAGGAGCATCAGGGTACCCTCCCCGAACCGACCTCGATCTTATAATATCTCGGACCGCCTGTACGCAACCCTGGGCTGGGTAGGGGTGGAAGCGCTTCCTTTCCCCCAAGGGCGGGCGGCCCGCGTCCGCGCGGCGGGCGGCGGGCGCGAAGGCCCTCCTCGACCTCCTTGACCTCCCCCTCTACTATCCTCCTCCTCCTCCTCCCCTCCTCCTCCTCCTCCTCCTCCCTCCTCCTCTCCTCCTCGACTGTCCTCCTCCTCTCCTCCTCTTCTCCTCTCCTCCTCCTCCTCCTCCTCTCGCCCTCCTCCTCCTCCTCCCTCCCCTGTCCTCCCCCTCGTCCTCCCCCTCCTCCCCCTCGTCCCCCCCCTTTCCTCCCCTCCTCCCCCTCGACCTCCCCTCCTCCTCCTCCTCCTCCTCCTCCTCCTCCTCCTCCTCCTCCTAGACCTCCTCTTCCTTCTCCTGAAGAATGAAAAGCACCAGGGTGACAGCACCACCACCAGAACCACCACCTAACTCCTCCTCTTCCTTCGCCTCCCTGGCCCCGGGCTGCGCCGCGTGGACTGAGCCCGGCGGCCCCGGCCGCGCCACCGCCCCCCTGCGGCGCCGGCGCACCCCGCTCCCGGAACGCTCCCGCGCGCGTCAGGAAGAGGGGGAGGGGGAGGGGGACAAGCTAGGTGCGTGCGCGTCATATCTGACGTCCTACCCCTCCCTCCCATCCCTTACCATGGCGCTGATTTTTCTATCCGCGACTAGTGGTGGTGGTGCGCGTCGTGCGGCGTGCGTGTGTGCGTGGTTTGTGGTGTGGTGGTTGTGGTTTGTGGTTGTGGTGGTGGTGTTGGTGGTGGTGGTGCTGGTGGTGGTGCTGGTGGTGGTGTGGTGGTTCTGGTGGTGGTTGTGGTTGTGTTGTGGTTTGTGGTTGTGGTGGTGGTGGTGGTGGTGGTGGTGGTGGTGGTGGTGGTGGGTGGTGGTGGGTGGTGGTGGGTGGTGGTGGGTGGTGGTGGTGGGTGGTGGTGGTGGTGGTGGTGGTGGTGGTGGTGGTGGTGGTGGTGGTGGTGTGTGTGTGTGTGCGTGTGTGCGTGTGTGTGTGTGTGTGTGTGTGTGTGTGTGCGTGTGTGCGCGTGTGCTGGGGCATGGCACGGGAAATGACGCCAGCGCTGCAGCGGGAGCACGAGTCGAAACGAGCGGAAGCGCGGAAATGAGGCCAGCGCTGCAGCGGGAGCACGATTCGGAACGAGCGGAAGCACGGGAATGAGGCCAGCGCTGCAGCGGGAGCACGATTCGGAACGAGCGGGGCCCGAAAATGAGGCCGGCGCCTCGGCGAGAGCAGCATTTTGAAAAAAATGCAAGCGAAAACCCAGCTCCCGGGAATCCTGTGTGTAAAAAAGCAGGTCGCGGGGGGGGGTCGGCTACTTTCAGGCCGCCATCGGGGGAAGAGGGAGAGTAGTATTCATATTGAGTATTTATTGTGAAGGGAAGAGGGAAGGGAAGGGAGGGGGAGGAGGAAGGGGGGAAGGGGATGGGGGAAGGGAGGGGGGGAGGGGGGGGGAGGGGGTATCGGGATGGGGAGGAGGAGCGGGAGGGGGAGGGGGGGGGATGGGTAGGGAGGGGGATAGGGGAGAAAAGGGAGGGCAAGCGAGGGGGGAGGGGGGGGGCACCCGCGGCAGAAAGTAGGAACCCGCGCTGGGCGACCCGGCTAGCCAGGTGGGAAGTTGTCCTGAAAGAAAAAGGAAAGGGAGGAGGGAGGGGAGGGGGAGGGAAGGGAGCGAGGGGCATGGGAAGGGAGGAGGGAAATAGAGGAGGGGAATGGGGAGGGAAGGGGGATGGGGGAGGGGAGGGAAGAGGAGATGGAGGAGGGGAGGGGAGGTGGTGGGTGGGGTGGGATCGGGGAGAGGGAAGGGGGAGGGACGAAGGAAGGGTGGGGGCATGGGGGAGGGCGGGTGGCAGGGGTACGGGGGAGCGGGGGAGGCGCGAGGGAGGAGGAGGTGCGGAAGCACGTTGGGCTAGTTACTTCCATTTCGCAGGTGTGCGTAGTTTTTCCGCGCCGCCGCGCGTCCTGCTTGTCCCGGATGGGTCCCAGAGAGGACCCCCGAGGTACCGTGTGCATAGAGTCACGCTGCATCGGAGGAGTGGGAGGAGTGGGAGGAGGAGGAGGAGGAGGAGGAGGAGGAGGAGGAGGAGGAGGAGGAGGAGGAGGAGGAGGAGGAGCAGGAGGAGCAGGAGGAGCAGGAGGAGGAGCAGGAGCAGGAGCAGGAGCTGGAGCAGGAGCAGGAGCAGGAACATGAGCAGGAGGGAGGGACGGAGGGAGGGACGGATGGATGGATGGAGGGAGGGAGGGAGGAGGAGGAGGAGGAGGAGGAAGAGGAAGAGGAATCATTACCATAATACTATAATACGGAAATGAAGAATATCCATAGAAACAAGAATACTAGTAATAGTATTAGTAATACTAACAATACTAATAATACGACTACTGATAATACTAATAATACTAGTACTACTAATAATAATGATGATGATGCTGCTGATAATAATAGCAATAATAACACTAAGACGATTGATACGACAAAACTAAGAATGATATGCATACTCATAATACTAATAATAAGCAGAACAATTAGACTAGTCCTAAGAATGCTAAGAAGAAGATTTATGATAATAGGAATAACAAGAATGACACTACGGAGAATACTAAGACTGAAACACTAATAATAATATTGGGAATACTACGGATAACAATAAAAGAGGAATACACATATTAACAATCATAATTCGAATCAGAATAAGAGGAGGAGGAGGAGGACGAGGAGGAAGAGGAGGAGGAGGAGGACGAGGACGAGGAGGACGAGGAGGAGGAGGACGAGGAGGAGGATAATCGTTTAGGAACGTTTAGTTTAACCAGAGGCCCGATTGGGCCCCGCACCCCAGGCAAGAGGAACAATCACCACGCAGGCACCAAAACCCCGAGCGTGACCTTCGCTCCCCGAGGCTGAGCTGCGGGACCCTCCTTGGGACCGGTGCGCGTTCGGGCTTCGGTTCGAGAGCTTCCACAGCGGCCTCCGAAGCCTGCTCGCCGTGTGCGGCGGCAGCAAGGAGGGCTTCCTGGACACGGAGGGTTCCCCGAGGCGGGCCTTCACGTCGGGGAAGCAGACCCCTCCGAATGCGATTGAGATTCTCATCGACACCAAGGTTCTCACCCCGACAAGGTAGGCGCAGGTGGTGAGCATCGCCACCATTCACGATCGAGGTAGAGAAACCACAACGTGCACAATACGTGATACAATGGAGAGGCACAGCATGCAGGGTGTGAGAGGGATGGAGGTCCAGGGCTCCTCCCCCTCCTTTCTGAAGTTCGGTCGCGGCCACAGACACGGACGCGCCGCTACGAGCCTCGGCCGACGGCGTCGACATGGGGCCTGAACATGCAAGAGGTGGCCGCGAAGCAGAGCAGCTGGCTCTGCCCGACCACGCACAGGCAGCGCGTGCAGACCCAACGGCCAGTCCCGCACTGTTGCAGCTCGTGCGACGAGGAAACACAGGCCACGGCGGCAGCAGAAAGGACGGGCCGTCGCGGCCCCATGCATCGAATTCCACGCTGCAGGTCGGCATCAGCCGCGAGCTCGATGGTTTGGCAAGCCCGCTTGCGGACCATGCGGGCCTCCACGTCCACGACGTCGGTGTGCGGCTCTGCCCCAGCGAGCCTGAGCCCAGACCACGTCAATCTCGCCAGGGGGCCTGCGCCGCCGCGCCTGGCGAGCTCGCTGCCGCAGGCTCTCGTTGGCACGCCCAGGCTGGACGATGGCCAACCTTCTCTCCCAGCGCCGCCAGAGAGGCTCGCGGTCTGTCACGTACCCCAGGTCGCCGCCGGCGGACTCCAGCGCCAGCGCGCAGCCGAGGATCTCCGCACGTGGTACCGTCTGCCGTTTGCCAGGCACAAGCGCAGCGCGGAACCATGCCAGCTCAGACCACGCACCCTCTTTGTCCTGGCCCAAGACCACGATGCTGCTGGCGCAGCGTTGGCGCCTCCAGAACCATCGCCGTAGACCGCCACGAAGCCGTCGTCGCGCCTCGCTGCCTCCAGCGCGTCGCCCGCGCCGAAGGACACCGCGGCCCGCTCCGCCC